TTTGTTTATGATTTTTTTTATTTTTTTTTTAATATTTTCATATATTAGAAACAAAATCTAATTCCTCAGCATAACATTTTCTCAATATTGTATGGGTATAATTTTGCTACAGAATAATGTTTTGGTGTTTTCAGAGGGATCAAAACCTTCCCAAGTAACCACTAAGGAAACATCCAGAATGGCATTTCTGGCATTCGTGGAAGTTAATGACATGACTTTGCACATGTTTGGTTTGGCTGATTCTGACAGCTGTTAGGCCAATTAGGACTTTTTAAGGCAAAAACACCACATAGTTTTATCATCATCAGACATGCATGATTACATATCAGAGTATTTAGTCAAATATCTAAGACAGTTCACTTTTATGAATACAATTCTTTCTGTGTAATAAATTCTGTGCTGTAATGTGCCGTGCAGCTTGTAACATCTTATGAAGAGTACAAATTAAGTAATGTTTAACTTATTTTATTTCTGATATTTAATACATAAATTAATGCAGAATGAATCTTGAATCAATGCCATTCGATCAAGATATGTATCTATTTAGGTTTTTTAGTTCAAGGTCAATAGAGCTAATCAGTTAAGGATGAATAATTCACAGTTAATTCTTTCATAATTTAATATGCAACCAAATAGCTGAAATGTGAGGCTATTCAATTAATAATGCATTTACACACTATATAGAAATACATTACCCTGAATACACTTCTCTGTTATAGAAATCAAGCTAGCTTCATACATAAACTTCTTCTGTAGAGTGCGTGAATCAGCATTTCTTAACAGAAGATAAGTTTTGTGTGAACTGCTACTAAGAGCAACCAGCAGTCAAGAGAGACACAGAGACACACAATTAAATCATCCTGAGTCAGATGTTGGTGAAACATTATGATTTGTACTCTGATTAGATAGTGTCACCTAATTATTAAAGATGTTACACTCTGCTTTTGTGATTCACATTCTTGTTTTGATAGGTTAGACTCATGTTGAAAAAACCCCAAAATTGTCTGACTCACTGATACAGTGACAGTAGTGGCTGTCAACGTCATCGTTCGTTAATTGTGCCAAGTTCTCTGCAGATAAGGACAATAACTGGAAAGCCACCAATAATAGTGACAACAGTTTAAAGTGCAGGAAGCCATTAAAGCGTTACTTATTGTGTGAAATCATTATCTGCTTTATATTCAAATTATAATAAACAACATTTTGTAGCAGCAACAATGTAGTGATAGTTCTCTTTTTCTTGTTCTTAAAACTCTCCAAATAAAAACACTCTGACACTGTTGGAAGTTACATAATCTGACTGAATAAAGAATTGTACAGTAATTAGTGCTTGGCCCTCACCTGTATTGGTTCTCCCGTTGGCGTCATAACTCCATTTGAAAGCTCCATCATCTTTAAAGCCATGAGTGCAATTTGAACAGCATGAGTGTCACTCTCCCTGTGCAAGCCACCAGCTACACAGTATGCATCACCAATGGTCTCCACCTGAATAAAGCAGAAGATTGTTAAAATTATTTCTACAAAGACAAATATAAAACGGCATACATTGTTTCAGGAGCTTTTTATGTCTTCTCCTACTCAATGTCAAGGGCTTTATTGCTGCATTTAAAGTGGCACACCACGTTTAAGCTATGAGCCGCGACATTGGTGCATATTAATATTGTAGCAGTAGCAGTGTGTGTGTATGTGTGTGCGCGCGCGCGTGTGCGCGTGTGTGTTTATCTATGTGTAAGCAGGCACGTTTTGTTAAAGCAATAGTTATGTGATAGCTGTGAATGTGTTTAGGTGTGTAGTTTTAAACTTTAAAGATGTGTGTGGTCTGACGCATGAATAATGGGTTAGACGTAGCAGAAGTAGCCCACCCTTACTTTACTCATCAGTCCTTTATTTTCATTTCCAATGCATTAGTAAGTCTTCCAATATGAGCTATCTTCATCTGATATATAAATGTGATATTCTTGAAGCTTGGTCAATGGTGTTGTGGCTGGTGTGATCACATGAAAATATGGACCCTATTTCTTTTTTTAATCTGAGACTATGATATTTAACTGTTAAGAATACATTTGACATGAAGGCAACGAACCTTAGACAGAGTGATAAATGTAAAGTGGATATTCACCAAACAGTCTGCAACAATTTGCCTCCATCGTGCAGCAGAAGACAAGTAAGTGTAATAAAACTTAAACTGTAATACTGTAGTACTTTATTAAAAAGTCCAGCTTTTTTCCCCTTTCTTCTTCTATTCTGTGCAAATCTGAACTGGAGAGCACTCAGCTGCTATGTGGCTGGAACAAAGTAAAACTATTTTTAGGCTCACACATGTGGAGTGGAAACAGGGTCCTCAAGGAACCTCTGACTTCCTAGCGTTTTACGAGATATTTGTCAAACGCGCTCCTCTCTCTGTTATGCTTCCACGACAGTTTGATTACATTATCCAGCCTCCCTGCAGATTAGCAGCCTATGCAAGACACTTGGCTAGCTGGTTGAGTTACAGTCCTTTGTACACAAAATGGTATTACTTTGTTCAAAATGTTGTGAAAGCATTTAATGCATTTTGTAACCTCCTATTCATATATATATACACATATATTTATATATAAATGTATGTATATTATACTTGTCCTGGTGGCCCGGGATGTTGCAGAAAGAGCTTCAGCAGGCTCTTCTTCTACCAAATGGGTTACAGGGGCAGTTCTTTGTCCATGAGTTTTGTGTGTATAGTATGTGTATATTATTTTAGTGTATAATTATATCTAAGTTATTCAAGCTGCAGGCACAGCTGTGTGGTCATGGAGGACACACAGGTAATGTCCACCTTAATTTACGTGGGAGTTAAGAAAAGGATTTTAATGATTTACAAAAGACAGAAACTGAGTACTTACAACTGACTTGCACACTTACATTCCTAGCAAGATCGAGTTTACTTACATAAAAATTAATGAACCAACAAATGAATTAATAAAATAACGATTGTTGTTGTGGCTATTCATAAAGAAAGAAGTCACCTATCTATAAGTCTGAAATTTTTGCCAGCAAAATGACTTTCTAATAAACTGCAAAAATCCTAGGATGTTCAATCTTGATGTTGAGTCTTGCTTAATGTTGTACCATGTCACTTACTGTTCCATAACAAATTTGAAAGCTTGACAATGATCCAGCATTGTTAACACCTGAGTGGTTTCTCAACATTTGTGCAGTGTAGACATGAAAGCATGTGTGAATGTTCACTGTAAAAAATAAAAAAAAAAACTCTGCTCCGCAATATATATTAACCTACCTTATACACATCAAGCTCTCCACATTGGTGGTCAAACCTGGTGTATAGCTCATTGAGCATGGTGATCACTTGCATGGGCGTACAGATTGAGCAAACAGCCGTGAAGCCCACAATATCAGAGAAGAGCATCGTAAC